GGATAACAGACTGCGGTCTAGGGACAATAAAGTAGCACTTGGTGATAAAATGAATACATTGTCGATGCACTTGGTGATAAAATGAATACATTGTCGATGCACACTGTCAACATGGATGAATTTCAAGAGCATCATACTAAGAAGAAAAACCAGCACAGACGATGACAGATTCTAGGCTTCTGTTTGTGTGAGACGGCAGAGATGACAGAGAGGAAGCTGACCTGGCTGCTGGGCCCGGGGCGCGGCAGAGGTTGCGAGACGCACAGGAGGTTTTCAGGAAATGCTCTGTATTGTGGGGACGGCGGAGGTTGTGCAAACTGCCCAAGCCCGTGCAACTGTAGGCTTCGAGCTGGTGAGCCTTCCGACAGGTTTTACCCCGCCGAGCCTGACTGAGCGCTGAGCGCACTGGACCTGTGCGGGAACTGCACCTCCTTCGTTTGTCCTGCCAGCAGCAGGCTGGGGGGAGGCAGGGAAAATGCAGCCCAGGGGCATCGCGCCTTGTTGAAAGCGCCTGGTGGTTTCTCTCTCCTCTGAACGCGGGCCAGAATACCAGCCTGACCTACAAGTCCATCCACCCTGCTTGCTGACCCCAAGGCTTGTAGGGCCCCGAGCAGGCCCGGTACACTGCCCCTGACTATGTCCACTTACAAATCAGGCCAGCCAGCTGCCAGAAAACCAGCTCCATCCTCCTACCTCGACAAAAGCAGCTTCGCGGCAGCCCGGGAGGCCAGGTTCAGGTTGAGGATCCCCGGGCTCCTTGCCGTGCTCGGCACGGGAGGTTGGCGGTGTTGAGGGGCAGCTCCTAGGACAGCCGGGCACCCCCTTACCTTCCCGGGCCCGGTCCATCTGAAGTCCCTGAAGTCCCCTCGGTGCTGGAGACAGCACTGGCGCTGGAGTCGGAGAAGCCGGACACCAGCCGTGCATCTCCCGGTTCCTCCTGGAATCACACTCGATTCCACAGACACATGGGAGCACGTGTGCCTTGTAAACACGTGTGCGTGGCTGAGTGTGTACATGCATGGACATGTGGCATGCGCTGCACAGGAGGGAACTTCAAAATGTTTTGGAAAAAACAGAATTGAGAAACATTCACTTTGGTGCAAAAAAAAAAGTGAAATCCTTGCCTAGTTCTTTCATAACACACATTTCCGTGAGTTTTCCAAAGACCACTTCTACGTACAATTTTAAAACTTCTTGCACCAAAATTAACTCATCTTCTCACGCCATTTCCACAAACGTTTGACCTGCCCACGCACGTGCCTGCGTCGTGCGCGTGTGCGTATTGCATGATGGTGCCAGATTGGTCTCCTTATCCTTACCCCGGGCACAGCCAGAGCTGAATGAGTATCGTGGGAGAGCGAGGGCCAGTGTGGCACAGTGATCAGTGCATGGGTCGTGGCGTCAGCCAAGCTGAAGTCCCACCTCCCTCTACTGCTGCCTGCGTCAGGCACTTGGGTTCCGGTTCCTAATCCGGTACAGCCTGGATTCGCTCGGTGCCAGGACACAGGGCTGCAGGTGCTGTGCATTTTATGGGCGTTGACAGGAGAATGAAGTAGCATGATCAGAGCCAGTGCGTCCTCAGCTGGACCGCACGCTCACTGCTCTGAGGGCCCCGGAAACACTCACTCTCTGCTCCGCCCTGGAATTTTGCCCTGTCCTGGAAGCTACACAGTACACGCAATGCATCTTGGCTGTCATATTCATGGTCAGTGGAGAGAGACGCCCGGATCCTTCGCCCCGGGAGCATCTTCTCCTGAACGCTGCTCAGACTCTGACTGACGGGGCGGGTACTCGGGTGCAGCAGGCAGCGAGCGCTCTCTCTGCCAGCTCAGAACTTGACCCCGGGGCTGGACTGGTCATTCTAGCGCAGCTTATGACATTCTTCCTCTAGATGGCGCTACAGCAGGGCTCCCAGCTGCTGAGTCGCGGCGCCCCCTGGTGGTCCGTTCTCGCCAACACTACGAGTAAGTGCAGAGCCTGTTTCCACCGATCAAGGCCATTGTCAGCGCAGGACAGATACGGGCAGGGAAATTAGAGTTGGATGTGCGAAGCTGCAGGATGGAGAGGTGCAGGCAGTGCAGGATGGGAGGCAGAGGAGGGATCAGCACACACTAAGGAACGCAGCCCGTTTCTAAGAACAGAATTTGGGGACCACCTCCTGTTGCCAGGCCTCCTACCAAGCCCATGGCGCCCATTGCCTTCTTGAACGAGAACAATGACTTCGTCTCATGGCCCGGCTGGCATGCAGTAGGTGGTGGGACATAGTAGGTGCTCACACAAGGATCGTTAAGGCAAATATTGCGCTTGTGCTAAGCGATGGCCAGCGAGGTCGCACACTAGTGCCTGGTGGAGCCGGGGCAGGTGCGATCCAGCTCGCTCTGCCGGGGGCCCGGCCACCCAGGGAAGGGCGGCCCCTGCCTTCAGGGAGCTTGCTGTCCAAGCGGCCTCCTCTGCACCTGCGCAGGGGCCTGCCAGGGCCGGCTATTTCCGGCTCAGGGCTGAGGTCCAGCGAAGCTCCCCTCGTAAATTATCAAGGAGACACATGTGGGTCAGGACAAGGGCCCTGGGAGCCGAGGGATCCCCAGGAATGTTGCTCCGCCTCATCGCGGCTTTGTCTTCTCTTCCAGGGACCGCGGGCATCCGGCAGTGCCCAGCGGCGGGCGTGGGGGTGGTCGCTTCCTTCCCCGGCCCCTGCCCGCTCCGCGCTCCAAGTCGTGCGGCCGCTGGACACGGGGCTTGCGGGCTCCCGAGTTGGGGGGTGCTGCCTCTCGTCTTGTGCACCTGCGGGGGCAGAGGGAAGGTGTGAGAAGCCACGTGCGCCCCGGTTCAGGCTCTGGGGGAGGGGCTCAAACGTGCCCGTGCGCCCACTTTCATCAGCGCGCCCGGTGCACAGATG